AGAACATAACATGCACCAGGGAACCTCCGTCCCATAGAACATAACATGCACCAGGGAACCTCCGTCCCATAGAACATAACATGCGCCAGGGAACCTCCGGTCCATAGAACATAACATGCGCCAGGGAACCTCCGTCCCATAGAACATAACATGCACCAGGGAACCTCCGTCCCATAGAACATAACATGCGCCAGGGAACCTCAGTCCCATAGAACATAACATGAACCAGGGAACCTCCGTCCCATAGAACATAACATGCGCCAGGGAACCTCCGTCCCATAGAACATAACATGCGCCAGGGAACCTCCGTCCCATAGAACATAACATGCGCCAGGGAACCTCCGTCCATAGAACATAACATGCACCAGGGAACCTACGGTCCATAGAACATAACATGCACCAGGGAACCTCCGTCCCATAGAACATAACGTGCACCAGGGAACCTCCGGTCCATAGAACATAACATGCGCCAGGGAACCTACGGTCCATAGAACATAACATGAACCAGGGAACCTCCGTCCCATAGAACATAACGTGCACCAGGGAACCTCCGTCCCATAGAACATAACATGCACCAGGGAACCTCCGGTCCATAGAACATAACGTGAACCAGGGAACCTCCGGTCCATAGAACATAACGTGAACCAGGGAACCTCCGGTCCATAGAACATAACATGCGCCAGGGAACCTCCGTCCCATAGAACATAACATGCGCCAGGGAACCTCCGTCCCATAGAACATAACGTGCGCCAGGGAACCTCCGTCCCATAGAACATAACATGCGCCAGGGAACCTCCGTCCCATAGAACATAACATGCGCCAGGGAACCTCCGTCCCATATAACATAACGTGCGCCAGGGAACCTCCGTCCCATAGAACATAACATGCGCCAGGGAACCTCCGTCCCATAGAACATAACATGAACCAGGGAACCTCCGTCCCATAGAACATAACGTGCACCAGGGAACCTCCGTCCCATAGAACATAACATGCACCAGGGAACCTCCGTCCCATAGAACATAACGTGCACCAGGGAACCTCCGTCCCATAGAACATAACGTGCACCAGGGAACCTCCGTCCCATAGAACATAACATGCGCCAGGGAACCTCCGTCCCATAGAACATAACGTGCGCCAGGGAACCTCCGTCCCATAGAACATAACGTGCGCCAGGGAACCTCCGTCCCATAGAACATAACATGCACCAGGGAACCTACGGTCCATAGAACATAACGTGAACCAGGGAACCTCCGTCCCATAGAACATAACGTGCACCAGGGAACCTCCGTCCCATAGAACATAACATGCACCAGGGAACCTCCGTCCCATAGAACATAACATGCGCCAGGGAACCTCCGTCCCATAGAACATAACATGCGCCAGGGAACCTCCGTCCCATAGAACATAACGTGCGCCAGGGAACCTACGGTCCATAGAACATAACATGCGCCAGGGAACCTCCGTCCCATAGAACATAACATGAACCAGGGAACCTCCGGTCCATAGAACATAACATGCGCCAGGGAACCTCCGTCCCATAGAACATAACATGCGCCAGGGAACCTCCGTCCCATAGAACATAACATGAACCAGGGAACCTCCGTCCCATAGAACATAACGTGCGCCAGGGAACCTCCGTCCCATACAACATAACATGCGCCAGGGAACCTCCGTCCCATAGAACATAACGTGCGCCAGGGAACCTCCGTCCCATAGAACATAACATGCGCCAGGGAACCTCCGTCCCATAGAACATAACGTGCGCCAGGGAACCTCCGTCCCATAGAACATAACATGCGCCAGGGAACCTCCGTCCCATAGAACATAACGTGCGCCAGGGAACCTCCGTCCCATAGAACATAACATGCGCCAGGGAACCTCCGTCCCATAGAACATAACATGCGCCAGGGAACCTCCGTCCCATAGAACATAACATGCGCCAGGGAACCTACGGTCCATAGAACATAACATGAACCAGGGAACCTCCGTCCCATAGAACATAACATGAACCAGGGAACCTCCGGTCCATAGAACATAACATGCACCAGGGAACCTACGGTCCATAGAACATAACATGCGCCAGGGAACCTCCGTCCCATAGAACATAACATGCGCCAGGGAACCTACGGTCCATAGAACATAACATGAACCAGGGAACCTCCGTCCCATAGAACATAACATGAACCAGGGAACCTCCGGTCCATAGAACATAACATGCGCCAGGGAACCTCCGTCCCATAGAACATAACATGCGCCAGGGAACCTCCGTCCCATAGAACATAACATGCGCCAGGGAACCTCCGTCCCATAGAACATAACATGCGCCAGGGAACCTACGGTCCATAGAACATAACATGAACCAGGGAACCTCCGTCCCATAGAACATAACATGAACCAGGGAACCTCCGGTCCATAGAACATAACATGCACCAGGGAACCTACGGTCCATAGAACATAACATGCGCCAGGGAACCTCCGTCCCATAGAACATAACATGCGCCAGGGAACCTACGGTCCATAGAACATAACATGCGCCAGGGAACCTCCGTCCCATAGAACATAACATGCGCCAGGGAACCTACGGTCCATAGAACATAACATGAACCAGGGAACCTCCGGTCCATAGAACATAACATGCGCCAGGGAACCTCCGTCCCATAGAACATAACATGCGCCAGGGAACCTCCGTCCCATAGAACATAACGTGCACCAGGGAACCTCCGGTCCATAGAACATAACGTGAACCAGGGAACCTCCGTCCCATAGAACATAACATGCGCCAGGGAACCTCCGTCCCATAGAACATAACATGAACCAGGGAACCTACGGTCCATAGAACATAACATGCGCCAGGGAACCTCCGTCCCATAGAACATAACGTGCACCAGGGAACCTCCGGTCCATAGAACATAACGTGAACCAGGGAACCTCCGTCCCATAGAACATAACATGCGCCAGGGAACCTCCGTCCCATAGAACATAACATGCGCCAGGGAACCTCCGTCCCATAGAACATAACGTGCACCAGGGAACCTCCGTCCCATAGAACATAACGTGCACCAGGGAACCTCCGTCCCATAGAACATAACGTGCACCAGGGAACCTCCGTCCCATAGAACATAACATGCACCAGGGAACCTCCGTCCCATAGAACATAACGTGCGCCAGGGAACCTCCGACCCATAGAACATAACACGCGCCAGGGAACCTCCGTCCCATAGAACATAACATGCGCCAGGGAACCTCCGTCCCATAGAACATAACATGCGCCAGGGAACCTCCGTCCCATAGAACATAACGTGAACCAGGGAACCTCCGTCCAGAGAGATAGCAGCAGAACCCAAGCTCCTCCTCCTCCAGAGAGATAGCAGCAGAACCCAAGCTGCTCCTCCTCCAGAGAGATAGCAGCAGAACCCAAGCTGCTCCTCCAGAGAGATAGCAGCAGAACCCAAGCTGCTCCTCCAGAGAGATAGCAGCAGAACCCAAGCTGCTCCTCCAGAGAGAGATAGCAGCAGAACCCAAGCTGCTGCTCCTCCAGAGAGATAGCAGCAGAACCCAAGCTGCTGCTCCTCCAGAGAGATAGCAGCAGAACCCAAGCTGCTCCTCCTCCAGAGAGATAGCAGCAGAACCCAAGCTGCTGCTCCTCACATTTCATTTGTTAGACGCTTTTATCCAAAGTGACTTACATACATTCAATACTGTGGACAATCCCCACAGGAGCACTTTGGGGTGAAGTGACAGCGACATGCTGACTGCAGTGGGACTCGAACTTGCTATCCCATGATTTTAAGTCCAGCACACTACCCACTGAGCCACAGCCTCCCCATTACAACACCAGCAGAGCACGTGTCATATTTCAGCATCAATCAAAACCACATCAACCACAGTGACCAATGTGAAACCACAGCTTGACCTGAGCAGGGTCTCTACTTCCCTTCAGCTATTTGAACCTGAGCAGGGTCTCTACTTCCCTTCAGCTATTTGAACCTGAGCAGGGTCTCTACTTCCCTTCAGCTATTTGAACCTGAGCAGGGTCTCTACTTCCCTTCAGCTTGACCTGAGCAGGGTCTCTACTTCCCTTCAGCTTGACCTGAGCAGGGTCTCTACTTCCCTTCAGCTATTTGAACATGAGCAGGGTCTCTACTTCCCTTCAGCTATTTGAACCTGAGCAGGGTCTCTACTTCCCTTCAGCTTGACCTGAGCAGGGTCTCTACTTCCCTTCAGCTATTTGAACCTGAGCAGGGTCTCTACTTCCCTTCAGCTTGACCTGAGCAGGGTCTCTACTTCCCTTCAGCTATTTGAACCTGAGCAGGGTCTCTACTTCCCTTCAGCTATTTGAACCTGAGCAGGGTCTCTACTTCCCTTCAGCTATTTGAACCTGAGCAGGGTCTCTACTTCCCTTCAGCTATTTGAGTCCAAATGATCTACTGTCAGCCCCAAGGAAGGGTGTTCTTACCTCAAGACCAAGCAGAGACCTTCAGAGACCACCACAGAGACCTGTACACTCTGTGTCTGCAGACCCCTCAGCAGGTAGACTCACCTGTACACTCTGTGTCTGCAGACCCCTCAGCAGGTAGACTCACCTGTACACTCTGTGTCTGCAGACCCCTCAGCAGGTAGACTCACCTGTACACTCTGTGTCTGCAGACCCCTCAACATGTAGACTCACCTGTACACTCTGTGTCTGCAGACCCCTCAACAGGTAGACTCACCTGTACACTCTGTGTCTGCAGACCCCTCAGCAGGTAGACTCACCTGTACACTCTGTGTCTGCAGACCCCTCAGCAGGTAGACTCACCTGTACACTCTGTGTCTGCAGACCCCTCAACAGGTAGACTCACCTGTACACTCTGTGTCTGCAGACCCCTCAACATGTAGACTCACCTGTACACTCTGTGTCTGCAGACCCTCTCAGCAGGTAGACTCTCAGCAGGGGGCTGCAGGCCCTGAGTCTGGACCCTCAGCAGGTAGACTCACCTGTACACTCTGTGTGTCTGCAGACCCTCTCAGCAGGGGGCTGGAGGCCCTGAGTCTGGACCCTCAGCAGGTAGACTCACCTGTACGGACCGGCCAATCAGGAGCAAACATCCACACCTCCGGATCTGTAGACCTGCTTCCAGCTGCAGCGGACCACATCCAGGTGAGGAGGACCTCTGTCCCAACTCAATTAGACCAAGACTCAGGTCTCTGTAGTCCAGCAGGTTTCTGTAGTCCTGCTGGTCTCTGTAGTCCTGCAGGTTTCTGTAGTCCTGCTGGTCTCTGTAGTCCTGCAGGTTTCTGTAGTCCTGCTGGTCTCTGTAGTCCTGCAGGTTTCTGTAGTCCTGCTGGTCTCTGTAGTCCTGCAGGTTTCTGTAGTCCTGCTGGTCTCTGTAGTCCAGCAGGTTTCTGTAGTCCTGCTGGTCTCTGTAGTCCTGCAGGTTTCTGTAGTCCTGCTGATCTCTGTAGTCCTGCAGGTTTCTGTAGTCCTGCTGGTCTCTGTAGTCCTGCAGGTTTTTGTAGTCCTGCAGGTCTCTGTAGCCCTGCAGGTTTTTGTAGTCCTGCTGGTCTCTGTAGCCCTGCAGGTTTTTGTAGTCCTGCAGGTCTCTGTAGCCCTGCAGGTTTCTGTAGTCCTGCTGGTCTCTGTAGTCCTGCAGGTTTCGGTAGTCCTGCAGGTTTTTGTTGTCCTGCAGGTCTCTGTAGTCCTGCAGGTTTCTGTAGTCCTGCAGGTTTCTGTAGTCCTGCAGGTCTCTGTAGTCCTGCAGGTTTCTGTAGTCCTGCAGGGTTCTGTAGTCCTGCTGGTCTCTGTAGCTGCAAGTCTCTGTAGTCCTGCTGGTCTCTGTAGTCCTGCTGGTCTCTGTAGCTGCAAGTCTCTGTAGTCCTGCTGGTCTCTGTAGTCCTGCTGGTCTCAGGTCTGGTTCTTCCTCCTCAGATGGCAGCAGGTCTTCCTCCGGACCAGAAGATCACCTTCCTGTCTCTGTTGAAAGAGGGGAGGGGTTTCAGACCAGCTGACGTGTTGGAGGCGGTGCAGCTCAGCCCAGATTACCCATCAGCCCTCAGGTTCCTGACTCACTGCTGCCCCCTCTGTCAGGAGCAGGTGACCTTCAGCAAGGTGAGACCATCCAATCAGAGCCCACACTCTACAGGTGATCAGGTTCACAGCCAATCAGAGCCCTCGCTCAGCAACAGGTGATCAGATCACATCCAATCAAAGCCCACGTTCTACTGGTGATCAGATCACATCCAATCAGAGATCACCCTCAGCTACAGGTAATCAGATTGCAGCCAATCAGAGCCCACCCTCAGCTACAGGTGATCAGGTTCACAGCCAATCAGAGCCCTCGCTCAGCTACGGGTGATCAGGTTCACAGCCAATCAGAGCCCTCGCTCAGCTACAGGTGATCAGATCGCAGCCAATCAGAGCCCACCCTCAGCTACATGTGATCAGATCGCAGCCAATCAGAGCCCATCCTCAGCTACAGGTGATCAGGTCTACAGCCAATCAGAGCCCACCCTCAGCTACAGTTGATCAGGTTCTACAGCCAATCAAAGCCCTCGCTCAGCTACAGGTGATCAGATCGCAGCCAATCAGAGCCCACCCTCAGCTACATGTGATCAGATCTCAGCCAATCAGAGCCCATCCTCAGCTACAGGTGATCAGGTCTACAGCCAATCAGAGCCCACCCTCAGCTACAGTTGATCAGGTTCTACAGCCAATCAGAGACCACCCTCAGCTACAGGTGATCAGGTCTACAGCCAATCAGAGCCCACCCTCAGCTACAGGTGATCAGGTTCACAGCCAATCAGAGCTCTCGCTCAGCTACAGGTGATCAGGTTCACAGCCAATCAGAGCCCACCCTCAGCTACAGGTGATCAGGTTCTACAGCCAATCAGAGCTCTCGCTTAGCTACAGGTGATCAGGTCTACAGCCAATCAGAGCCCACCCTCAGCTACAGGTAATCAGGTTCACAGCCAATCAGAGCTCTCGTCTGAATTTTGAGATTTCGATAAAAAGTCTGAATTTTGAAAAAAGTCAGAATTTTTTAGATTTTTGTTAAATGAATACATAATGACATACGACAGTAACATTTGATTTGAGGATATTTTTAATAACTCTCACTGACAGAAGACAACGGTCTCTCTGGGTGTTTCTCAATGTCGAGGACGCTTCCTTGGTAGCACATCTGAGTCAGGTCCTTCAGAGTCAGGTCCTTCAGAGTCAGGTCCTTCAGAGTCAGGTCCTTCAGAGTCAGGTCCTTCAGAGTCAGGCAAGAATCCTTCCTAGCCTCGGAAAACGAAGAATGGTGGAACAGGCTAACAGGCTAACAGGTGTGCAGGTGTGCAGGTGTGCGTCATATGCGAGGCCCCGCCTTAAATGGTGCGCGATTTACGCCAAAGATTTGGAAATTGGTCCGTGCGCAAAGCATTGTGGGGATTTTAAGACCGCGGAGTCTACACATGTGCAGCCTCGACATTTCTCGCTAGGAAGGACGCCGGCCTCGGTGGAATTCCAAGTATGCTGGACATTGGAACAGTCCTTCGGCGGCACTCGATGACGTAGCATCCTTGAAATAGTGGCTCTGGAGCATCCTTCCTCGACATTGAGAAACACCCCCTATCTCTTCTTCTCTGGCTGTATCTCCTGTAGATCATCTCTTCTTCTCTGGCTGTATCTCCTGTAGATCATCTCTTCTTCTCTGGCTGTATCTCCTGTACATCATCTCTTCTTCTCTGGCTGTATCTCCTGTAGATCATCTCTTCTTCTCTGGCTGTATCTCCTGTACATCATCTCTTCTTCTCTGGCTGTATCTCCTGTAGATCATCTCGATGACTCACTGCTCCTGCTTCCTGTGTGAGTCGTGTTTTAAGGCGTTCTTCTCGTCGGCCATTAAGGAGAAGAGCATCGATCAGCTGACCTGTCCTCAGTGCGGCCGCCCGGAGGTCAGAGGTCAGGGGGGGGGGGATGGAGTACTTCAACCTGCTGGACACTCAGGTGAGGACGTCAGGTAACACATGTGACGAAGAGGATAGGTGAGACAGGAAGATAGTGTGTGTGACTTCCTGATTGGACCGCTACGGCAACCCCAGAGGGACATTTGACACAGCGGCGTTTCACAAAGAAGAACAAAACCCCCGACCACATGAATCTGAGAGAGATGAGTTATTGAACGTAAAGCCTTTCAGTGGGTTCAGTAGATTCTAATAAGTGAGACATGGATTAGCTTCTGTTAGCGATGCTCATTGATCAATCTGAAAGGTCTCTCCAGCTTTAGGGCCAGAGGACTGAGATCATTATCAATGACTCATACATGATCAATGATGTGATCAGAGACCACCTGTTCACAGATAGTTCACTGCAGACCACCTGTTCACAGATAGACTGCAGACCACCTGTTCACAGATAGTTCACTGCAGACCACCTGTTCACAGATAGTTCACTGCAGACCACCTGTTTACAGATAGTTCACTGCAGACCACCTGTTTACAGATAGACTGCAGACCACCTGTTCACAGATAGACTGCAGACCACCTGTTTACAGATAGTTCACTGCAGACCACCTGTTCACAGATAGTTCACTGCAGACCACCTGTTCACAGATAGTTCACTGCAGACCACCTGTTTACAGATAGTTCACTGCAGACCACCTGTTTACAGATAGACTGCAGACCACCTGTTCACAGATAGACTGCAGACCACCTGTTCACAGATAGACTGCAGACCACCTGTTCACAGATAGTTCACTGCAGACCACCTGTTTACAGATAGTTCACTGCAGACCACCTGTTCACAGATAGTTCACTGCAGACCACCTGTTCACAGATAGACTGCAGACCACCTGTTTACAGATAGTTCACTGCAGACCACCTGTTTACAGATAGTTCACTGCAGACCACCTGTTTACAGATAGTTCACTGCAGACCACCTGTTCACAGATAGTTCACTGCAGACCACCTGTTTACAGATAGTTCACTGCAGACCACCTGTTTACAGATAGTTCACTGCAGACCACCTGTTCACAGATAGTTCACTGCAGACCACCTGTTCACAGATAGACTGCAGACCACCTGTTTACAGATAGTTCACTGCAGACCACCTGTTTACAGATAGTTCACTGCAGACCACCTGTTCACAGATAGTTCACTGCAGACCACCTGTTCACAGATAGTTCACTGCAGACCACCTGTTTACAGATAGTTCACTGCAGACCACCTGTTCACAGATAGTTCACTGCAGACCACCTGTTTACAGATAGTTCACTGCAGACCACCTGTTTACAGATAGTTCACTGCAGACCACCTGTTTACAGATAGACTGCAGACCACCTGTTCACAGATAGTTCACTGCAGACCACCTGTTCACAGATAGACTGCAGACCACCTGTTTACAGATAGTTCACTACAGACCACCTGTTCACAGATAGACTACAGACCACCTGTTTACAGATAGTTCACTACAGACCACCTGTTCACAGATAGTTCACTGCAGACCACCTGTTCACAGATAGTTCACTGCAGACCACCTGTTCACAGATAGACTACAGACCACCTGTTTACAGATAGTTCACTACAGACCACCTGTTCACAGATAGTTCACTGCAGACCACCTGTTCACAGATAGTTCACTACAGACCACCTGTTCACAGATAGACTACAGACCACCTGTTTACAGATAGTTCACTACAGACCACCTGTTCACAGATAGTTCACTGCAGACCACCTGTTTACAGATAGTTCACTGCAGACCACCTGTTCACAGATAGACTGCAGACCACCTGTTCACAGATAGTTCACTGCAGACCACCTGTTCACAGATAGACTGCAGACCACCTGTTCACAGATAGTTCACTGCAGACCACCTGTTCACAGATAGACTGCAGACCACCTGTTCACAGATAGTTCACTACAGACCACCTGTTCACAGATAGTTCACTGCAGACCACCTGTTTACAGATAGTTCACTGCAGACCACCTGTTCACAGATAGTTCACTGCAGACCACCTGTTTACAGATAGTTCACTGCAGA